CGTCTTGCTTGATTCTCTCGAAGCCTGCTTGCGTGTATTACTTTAATTCGAATATGTTTCAATGTAATTTCAGAGATATTTGCACTTTATATTTATACATGATGCTATAATTTAGATTAAAGAACAATTTATCCCTTGATGAACTTTTTAGGATATAAATAGAGAACTTCGATGATGCACCTCTCGCAAAAGACCATTTACGTAACATACCTTTCACATCGACGTTCTTCAGGAAAACTGATGACGTCTAGCTGGAGCAAACATTCTGTTAACTGTGCTTTTACGGTTATGATTGATTGAAAGTATTGAATTGTCGGTGTTCATCGTAGGGCGCTGTATCAGTAATTTTAGTAATTTATTGGTAAAAAAATCAGCGCTAGTTCAGTCGAAGCGTAATGTAACTCTATTTCACCAATTACAGTATTCAAATAGTATAACATTATTTTTTAAATCACAAAGGTACTTTAACGCTCGGAATTACATTGATTCTGTTTACTTTATACTATTCCTCTCTGTATAGAAAATGGCGGACAAATATTTGAATCACTTTAACCATAAGATCTCGAAATTTTAATATTATTAGAGGGTTCCGGCAATCTTGCCGAGAAAAATAAGGTAGTAGCGTTGGTTGGTCTCGCGATTGTTGTGTGTTTCGTGATTGTGTGTGTTGTATATGTGTAACGTGTTTGTGGTTGATTGTGGTTTGTGTTTGATTGAGCAGATGCGTAGCGTCTTGCTTTGTGTTAGGGTTTGCCTCCTCTCGCACACTTCAATAAATGTTATCTATCCCTTTTAGAAATAATCGTTGCTAACGCATTGTTAGTCTGGTTGGTATAAGACGATTTAAGTCCTAGGGTATTTTATCATAAAATTACAAGAAAAGTTCGACCGACCATCACCAACGACTGATTAAACATTTTACGTCAACAATATCAAATCTTAAAACCTATAACTTATGCCAAAGCTGTTTAACCACAAAGAATATCAATATCAATTGTATTACAGTATATCCATCAAACAATATTTTCAACACTTCCGCATTGTTATCAATTGAGATAATTGTGAATGCGCAAACGACAACTTTGTCAAAGGCAGCGTGATACCTATATCACAGAACAAAAAGATACCTCATATCCATGAGATTGGAATATTGCAGTTATCTTGAGCGAAAGGTTACAGGCAGGTAACTTCGCATTTTGTTGACAGTGAACAACAAACCTGGCAACCGAAAGGATGAAAACTTTTACGTTCTTCATTTTAGGTATGTGAAAATTACAAATATGTAGTGTAAGCATACTGGTAAACCGGTTAAATATTATTTTAAGATAACACAAAAATGTAAAAAACGGATATTTTGGGGGTTTAAGTAATCAATAATTAATTATTGCAGATCAAACGAATTGGTGGAAATAAATCAAATTTTAAAAGAAACATTTAACGGAAGTGGGTTGCAAAGTGCTTGAGAACCGGAAGAAAAAAAATATTTAGCGTGTAACAGTTTTCAAATTTCTAAGAAATTTAAAAAATAAAATCCATGAATAATAATAATAATAATAATAATAATAATAATAATAATAATAATAATAATAATAATAATAGCAAATAAAGAAATCATAACAGGTGATAGTGAGATCTTGATACCTAAGCGCTTTCTCATTATTTCACGCTTACTTTGGCACTCACAAAGTGTAAGAATCAATGGCGATATTTGGTAAAAATCATATGTAACTTCATGTATTTGTAAGCTTCCGTGAGCGGAGTCATTAGATACTAGGCTGTCCGGGATGAGCCGCGATTGCGGCAAGTCGGTCATTGCAAGTATACAGCAGTATAGCTCTGAAGAAGTCCACAACACCATGGCCGAAATGTCACTTCGACCAACTGAAACGCGGCTCATCCCGGACTGCCTAGTATCCATATGTAATCTTAGGTCGTCACAGGCAAATGTTGTGTTGTAGGCCAGAAAGAATGACAACTGAGATACTCTTCAAAACATTTTTTGTCTATGAAAAAAAAACGATAATAACAATAGATTCATTTATCTATAAGTTAAAGAAGTAAAAAAAATCTCGACCCCTTCGAAAATTGGACGTGAGCTTTCCTTATCAACCGTGTGAAATATGACCGTAAAATATTTTCCAAGTCAAGGTAAAGCAAAATTATTACTTCGCTAATATTGCTAATTGGTCCAGTTTGCTACGAGCTGCGAATGCATAAGTTGTGTCACACGGATAGGATGGGGTTGTGTCATAAGGTAGGTTGAGTCGCACGAAGACGAAATCGTAGAAAAAAGAAAATTTTATTTTTTGAACTCAATTGAAAACCAAAAGAAATGTTTAAATTCGTAATGTTCTTTTCTCTTGTGATTCATATTTTAGAACCGGTGCTGGATGATGAGATCTCTTAAAGCTTGTGTGATATGAAGAGGTTCGGAAAATTTTCCTGAAACTATTTTTTAATGACGAATGTCAGTCTCTGTACATTAAAGAACAGCGGATATGTTCTCAGCTTTGTGCTTAAAATAGTTTACCTCCCGAGGAAGGAACTAAATAGAAGGCCAAGAGACCAATTAATCAAAGTATTAGCCGAGATGGCTACAAATCCTGCAAGAATGCACTAACTCGATGCAAGGGTCTCCTACGGAAATCGCGTAATTCCGTTCCGAAGCCTATTACATGCCCGATTTTTCCTCCTTCTGTGTAAGATCCCAGGATATAGAATGCTGTCCCCTTCCATATTACTATTTATTTATTTACATAAAAAACAGTTAAAAACTGTGTGTGACGTACTGGGGAGAAGTTAATTTGAAGTTACATTTATGCCCAGAAGGAAAATAAGGGACCATCTCATAATTTGCTCAAGGATCAGGGAAACTGAGCGAAAACCTGATCGAGATGAGGGTCATTGACCCAGAAGATGAAGTACAATACTTGTTACAGGTTCTTTAGAATTATACAATCCAAATGGTAAATAATACGAAAATGTCAATGTTAAAATTCATATTACCTTCCTTTTGTATGTTCGGTATACTAATTACACTTATCAACGTCTGTGAATGAGATATGTTTGTGTGTATTGATGGACAGACTGTGTTTAAAGGGTTTTTGAATTGTGAGCCAGAGAAAATACTAAGCATGATTACGTGAGGGGTGTGTATCTGCAAATGAGATTTATTACCGTGTAAATGTAGAGCATTTTGTGTTGATTTTTGATTCAGTGTTGTGCAGATCTGTTTATCGGAAGGTAAATTGAATAGAAATTGTGAATGTTCCTAATTCTTTAAAGTAACGAAATTACCTAAACGTTTAATGAACTGTTGATGTATAATTCTTGAGCACAACCTGGACGTACAGGAGTGACGAGCGTCATTATTTCTTCTGAAGGATCCTAAGTATTGAGAATTTGAATGGCCGGGAAAGTGTTCGACAATGATCCAGTACTACGAGTTCCTGAAAGTAGTAATTGAGTTGTCACCATCCCGTCACTTTGTTGGACGCAATTACGCTCGGAGAATATATTACGCAGTCGTAAAGAAATCCAAATTATGATCATGTTACTGAGTAAAAATGCATTTTAATAATAAAATTATGTATACATACAAGGAGCGATAATAGAGCAGCTGGGCGTAAACCAGAAGGCCCAGGTTCGAATCCCGGTCTGGGCAACCAAATCTTTGAATAAATTTAATTAAAATTGGTTACTTCACTTCTTAAGATACGACCCCAGAGGATTGAGAATGGCGTGCAACGTTGCTTATAATAAGCAAACGCACAGGGTTGATCGTGTGAAAGACGATACGAGCAGCTATAACTTAAAACGTTTTGAGTCGTAGCGCTGGTATGCTGCACTGTTCCTTATAGCGAGTCCTAATATTTTAGTGTGAGGCGGAACGTCCTTTCCTCTGGCGAGTCCTGATGTAAAGGCTGGGAGAAGTGGAATGCCGCCCTATTTTACGAGTGCCTTGGACGCCGAGCGTGGCAGTATGGGTATTCGACGCTGATTCTTATAGCGAGTCTATAGTTTAGCGCGGATGCAACGTTTTTCTATGGCAGTTTTCTTTAAAGCGGGAAAGGTGGATAGTGTCGCTGATGCCTCACAGTGTCCAGAAAGCTCAGAGACGCTGGGATGACATGCATTTTAGATTTTTTCAGTCAAGAACAGTAAAAACTGTATGTGACGTAGGGGAGAACAGATTATTTGCGCATGTTTTGTTGAGTTCCAGAATCCCTTCCCTTCATTTTTACTATAAAGAAATGAAAGATGAGTAAAAGTTAAACGTCAATAAAAATAAATTTTAAAAATCGCAAGATTAGCAATATTTGAAAAATAGTCATTTTTGTTTCCGAGTTATAGAAAACTTATTTGCATTGGTACACGAATTGCCAGTATGATTTTTCTGCATTGCTAACAAAATAGCAACCCGCCCTTACCTCTACTGTTACCATTACACGCAAAAGGAGAGTTCAAAAAAACGTGCGCATTGTGAAGCTACATCGCTGTTCCTTATGGCAAGTACTAAGAGTTGAGTGTGTTGAACAACATGTCTTCCAATGGAAATTTCTCAATTGATTGAGAGTTGGAGAGGTGTAGTACCCGCTATTGCTTAAGTGTCCTGAGCGCTGAGATCTTCTGAGGTGATGTGGATCGCTATTCCTTGTTGCGAGTCTTAAGTGTTGGTTTCCTATGCCAAAGTTTCAATGTCAGAGCGGGAATGGAGAATATACCGTTCGTGTTTTGAATCCTGAGAGTTACAGGATTCATGAGCATTGCTGTTCCTTGTACCTAACAATTGAGCGTGGCGTGCAACGTTGTTTCCGGTGTCGACTCCTGAATAGGAATATTATGTCTGTTTCGTAAGTGCCCTGAGTCCTTAGTTTTGCAGGGGTTACACACATCTCTGCGTTGCTTCTTATGGCGATACATCAGTGTTGAGGATGAGAAAGGTGAATTGCGCTGCTCTTACGTAGGGTATCCCGAACGCTGAGATCTGCAGGAGTGACATGCATTGCTGCTTTTTGTTACGAGTTCTAAGTACTGAGCGTGGTGGGCAACTTTGTTTCCTGTGCGGAGTCCTCAGAAGGAACGTCGTGTCCGTTGTTTAAGAGTATGCTGAGTGTTTAGTGTTTCAGGGGTGGCGTACGCAGCGGCGCAGACGGGGTGCGCCCCGAATTCTCAGGAGGACAGATCCTACCGCAAAGTTGTGGCTGCCCTGGATGCTTTCGCCATCAACCTCTACCAGGTGAGACTCACAAGGTCATTCAAACTAACAATCTTACAGTCATTCTACGTGGTGTCTGCTCAGATTCTGATCCTACTCATAAGATCAAGTGTGGCATGGCTCTGGCATTGATAATAGAATTGTATTGTCCCGTTATTATATTTTGAGCTTTGGAACTGACACGTGATGGTGACTCCATAGAGCATGATAGGAGGACGAAGTTGGTGGACTATTCTGATTTTGTGTTAGAACTACAGGTGCTGTAGGGCATGAAGTTCAATATGTCGGTGCCTGGGATGAGCATGTCTGAGATGAATATTACGCGCTTTGTAGTTGCCATGAGGCGAGGTGGGCAACGTGGTGTCTCTCTGCTCAGCACGGTCAATTTGCTTTTATTGACGTGACGTGTGTAGTGTATGCTGAGACTTCGTGTGTGCATTGGTGCTGATGGGTGATGCTGTCAACATGGTGGTGCCTTAGCTGGCATTGGCTTTCATTCTTGCGCCGACGTTGCAGGTGTGTGCTGAGCCTCAATGAGCGTCCCGGAGGCGCCAAGGGACGAGGCGGGCAGCATGTTGGCGCCCCCGCTAGGCACACCTGCCTTGTTTACGTTGACGTAACTGGTGTGTGTTGGTGTGTGCTCAGTCTCATGGACGTCCTGTGACGCTGATCGTGATTCTAAGAACTATCTTTGTGGGCGTAAGACACACGGAGTGTCGTGGCTGGCAATGGGGTTGTATCTCCCATCAGGGCGGCCATTGTGCTTGAACTTATTGGTTTTGTCCACTCTTTGAGGACATCAAAGGTGTGAAGCATAGAGACGGGCAACGTGGTCGTGGATCTGCTGATCATGACTGCGTAGCTGGCCCTGACGTAACGGGTGTGTGCAGAACCTTTCTCGGTACAGGAGGTGCGGGGAGTCGATCCCGAGCAACGTGGAGATCTCTACTCAGTACGGTCGTGGTGCTAGAGCTGACGTAACGCGTATGTGCAGAGACTTTGTCGATTCAGGAGGTGCGTCGAGGCGGGCACGAGGCGGTGCCTCTGCTGATCATGTCTACATAGCTGGTGCTAACGGTGTGTGCTGTAACTCTGTGAACGCAGGAGGCGCGGAGCGTCGGGCCGGGCAACGTAGTAGTGCCTCTGCTGATCATGTTTACATAGTTGGTGCAGACGTAACGGCGTGTGCTGTAACTCTATGTACGCAGAAGGCGCGGAGCGTCGGGGCGGGCAACGTACTAGTTCATCTGCTGATCATGTCTACATCGCTGGTGCTAACGGTGTGTGCTGTAACTCTGTGTACGCAGGAGGTGCGGAGCGAGGAGGCGGGCAACGTGGTGGTGTCTCCGCTCAGTGCGGCCGTAGTGCTTGCGCTGACGTGGATTGGTGCCAACGGGCGAACGGCTCAACAGCTGGGCGACATGCTGCATCTGCCGCTAAGCCGGAGGATTGTCGCGGAAGGATTTCGCTTGGTCATGGACACACTGCCCACATCCAATAATCAGGTGCCCTTTCTTAGAAGCTAATTCTTTTGCAGCGAAAGAAAGATCAAATCTAACGATGATAATGAGTGAATGCGAATTCAAGAAAAAAAAATGGTATTCGGTGGTTCTCAAAAAATGGTATCGTTGGGATTAAAAATGATGAGGTTTTGATTAGAATTCCTAAAGTCGAATATGATTTTTTTATTTCTTCCGTGATGGAAATGGCATTTGTAATTTTACATTTTTAATTCTCAAGCTATATAAATTATATTTCATATTTACTCCTTTTTATGAGTTATAAAATATCTCACGTGAACATGATGAGAACTAAACATGAAATATTAGTTTGAAAGATAAGAATATAAGAATTAAGCTTTGGAGATGCTACAGGTTACAGACTACAGGTTTTAGAATGACTGTTAATACGTTTCAAGATATTCCAAAACAAAATATTTTTTTTAATTTGAGGAATAATATTAAAGAAAAATATACAGAATCAAGCAAACAATATTGTACTAATAAATCTTTTTCTGCGGTACATTATGAATAACCAACAAACATTGTATTGTTAACCGTGTGTAATAATTAAGAAAATATTTTTATCATGAATATTAGCTGTCTTTCCTGATAGTGTTTTGAGATAATTGTGGATTAATCTGATATTTGTGTTTTTATTTTCTTTCATACAATATTATTTTTCTGTAATTTTAATTTTTCACCATATATTCACTTTCATTTTCAGTCTGATGGAGAAGCACTTCTGCAACTTGCAAACAGAATATACATTCAGAAAGGTTTTGATATCAATGAGACTTTCTCGGAGGTGGCAGTTGAAGACTTTAGATCCGGAGTAGAAGCGCTGAACTTTGCAGAATCTGAAAATGCTCGCAACTTAATCAACCAGTGGATAGCAAATAACACAAACGACAAAATTTTGGACGCCATTCCACCAGGTTCGTGATTGTTAATAACAGGGGTTCCTTACGGGGTGGGTATAGACTACTTTGGGGTCGATTAAATTTTAAAGGGTGTCAATGGGGCTTAAGGAGTCGTTTGGGGTCAATAGCCGAATACGGCCCTAACAGGAAAATTAGGATCTCATTAATTAAAAAATATTAATGAATGTAATTAACTGTTTTCTGATGTAAAGCAAAACGTTCAATAATAAATAACGCTCTTCTTTTGCATCTTTCTTTCAACCTTAGAAATTAGGACGATTCAAAAACTCAAATAAATATAAGTACAGACTGAAATCGATACTCATGAAAGTATGCTTTCATGAGAGCTCATGAAAGGACTCTCCACAATACCCACTGGAGAAATGTTTTGGCCAGTTGTTAAAAAACACTGAATATTTTGTAATCATTGCTTCCCAATGAAGATTTGAAACTCAGATACTCAGGTAACTCAGCGAAAGCATCTACGATTTTTGCAATTATTGCAAGTGTTCATACAATCGGATAAAGTGGATAATCTTTTTTCACTAGTTCTGTTTCGATCGGAGGTATTTATTTGTTTCACCACACCACACACAGTCCTGTCATGCGCACTGACCCTCTTAAGGGCACGGTAGGCTCTGATGTTGTGATCGCATGTGTCAGAACGTCTTTCCACATAATAATTAATAAAATTCTGGTTCACACTAATTACAGCGAGAGAGAAATATATGTCCTACAATAATTATGTTATAAACTTCTTGACATACGCTACGGTAACTTATACTGATAAAACATGACATTTAAAATAATGATGAGTTGGGGTGGTACAGGCTTAGGAGTAAATCTGAGATACACTGTTTGCTCTCATCTGCTCTCTGGCGGGAAGTATTGTAATCACGAGGCTGGGCCTTGAAGCATGGGAGAGGGAGTAACGTCATCCCTTGCTGGCTGGGGTCAGTACATTATCTGCTATGGCTTCCCCTGATCTCTGCCTGTCGCCGGATCAATGAATAGGATGCGTGGGCAGTTTCGTGTCCCAGCGAAGATTTCACAGCTGGTGTTGTGCGGTGGACCAGCGCGAAGACCACAGTAGAATATACAGAGGGTGTACTATTTTTAACCAAGTGACATGCGGTTCCTCGTTATTTTAATTTTCAATATTCATTGAATTTTCATTCCTGCTTACCCTGACAGTGCTGGGGTTGCTTGGGTTAAGTGCACGTCACTGAGAAGAGTGGATGGCCCCCATAATTCTCCTCTAGACAGCAGCTGAATTCGATCTAGCTATACAACTAGTGTCAAGAATCCTCTTGATCGGGACTCGAATGCTTCAAGAGTGCATTTTACTAAGAAGAAATACTTTAATAGAAGTTATGCAAGGGAAGTAAGTGAAGCTAAGTCGTATCCGTATTTTGATGTGAAGCGCGTGGGAAATGTTGCTTTGGCGCGTCTCAAAGATGTTACGTTAATTGCGGAACCCGAAAGCAGGAGCCTCACCATTGACTTGAAAATGAGTGGGTAAAGCAAGTACAATTGGCATGCAAGTCCTACCTATCTTAATCTGTAGGCCTTCTTGAATCATTCTAATGTCATCGAATGCCTCACGCGCTCCATTCATTTATCCCCTTACACTGTTTGTCAAAAAATATTGCCACTCCATGTTAATTATTTGATTTCCGAAGTGCCGGATAAGTGGTTGCATTCCCATACCATCATCTAAAACATTTGATTCTCAATCTATTTAGAGTTATACATCTTAATTAATATTCACCCCTAAATATCATTCTATGACTTTTATTCAGTGGGCCCATTAAGAATTCGCTATTGTGTTCACCTACTCAACAAGATTCTTCTACGTTCCGATATCAGTGCCCCACGATACTTTCTATCGAAAGGTCGCCGATTTCTGCCTCAGCATTTCAATTATTTCTCTTAATTATGTACGTTTCTCTAACGTATGTACGTAGTATGACGATAAAGTAACAGTGAGGAGGACAGCAATCATAAGTATCTATCCCCAACACTGATATAAGCGTGGAACTGATCCGTGCTGTTATGTTCTTTGGGATGATAAATAATTCACTTGGAAAAGTTGAAGTATAAAACGTTTATTGTATTCACAACACATAATAGGTAAGCACGCGCGACAACTTATTAACGGTCACTCGGGAACACGTCGGGGAGAACGTCTGTCCGCTACGGCGAGAGACTGGGCATGTTCGTTGCAGCAAGAGAATGGCAGGCTGCGCCAGTGCGTCGCGTGCTACCAACTGTTTAGCCCCAAATCACCAACAGCAAAAGAGGAATAAATTTAGGGTACATATACAACACGTACCTTGTTGCTGCTTGAAACTTGTAGTACATGCCATTGTTTCTTTCCACAGGTGTCATTACCGCTGCCACTAGACTTATACTGGTAAACACTGTTTTATTCAGCGCAATGTGGCTCCATCAGTTTCCCAAAAGTGCTACAACCAACGAGACATTCCATCTTTCGGAGACCGAGCAAGACAACGTGTCCATGATGCATGGATCTTTCAAGTTGGAGTACAGCAATTTGCCTGAATTCAATGCTGCAGCTTTGAAACTCCCTTACAGAGTAAGTTGAGTAGCTACGAGACTCAATTTCCCTTTTATGTTGTAGTAATTGATTATTTGCTTTCAATGTATATCAAGTTTTTTCCGAAGCTGAAAACATTGATATTGTTTCTGCTTTTTGTTTAAAATGTGATACAATTTATCACAAGTATTTGATACAATCTGAGTGATTACAGCATCTTTGACTGAAGCTAAAATAACATTCTGTACAATTCACTTAAAAACTGAAAGGTCAGAACTCATTTTAAAAATATTTGTAGAATTTTAAGTGTTAAGAAAATATAGTTTAGTATATAACGATGTTTTGAATATATGTTGCCTATGTTCTGACAAAAATATAGTAAGTTGTCGTTAAATATCACAAAATTTTCTCTTTCTCGACTTACTACGTACTTATGTAGTAAAGAGAACGCGACTAATATTTGGGGATTTTTTCACAGAAAAACTCGAATTCTACGGAACTGATATCGTGAAAGTGAATAACTCTTGTTCCTGTACAAATACATAGTAATGTACCATACATAATTTAAGGCGACATAATTTAAGACAAATCGCGAGCCAAACTTGTTAATTTTATTTTTCAAAATAGTATTTGTACATAAATCACAAAAGAGACATACATTTAATTTGAACAGGGATGACTTGAGAGCACAAATTGCAAATGAACGAGCGTACTGGAGATTAGTCAAGAACAACTTTCTCGGCATAAAGCAAAACATGCATTTTGCATACTACAGTCTTGATGTGAGATCAAACTCTTGCTGACGAAATGTAGTACAATAAAGAAATCTTTATATGAAGGTACATAAAAATGGGCAGAGTAGACCAAATGATTCAAAGTGTACGTATGCACTGTGTAATAAAAGGCGAAACCACAAGACAACATAAAAATACTTTGTGCATATTCTATAGGAGTTAATTTAATAATTAGTGTTCGTGTAGATGAAAATACTGAGGATGTTCTAATTTCTAAAACGTTTTAAACCTAACAAATCATTTAATACATTGCTTTTCAATGCATCTGACCTGCAACCACGGAACCAGCTACTAGGTCTCTCTGGATAACAGCGACTTGTGGCACGACTTTTGCAGCTGCCAACACAACTACTTAACGGTTTGCCACTCATCTTACATAACCAAGTGTTTACTAATTCATCTATTTATTTGTCACTAAAGGAGAGACTATAGAGTCCTTAGGCTATGGCGAGACGAATTCAGACAACTATCTCAGGGGACATGAAAGGAAAACAAAAGAAAGTGATTATAATTTTTTTTAAAAAACAATTTTGGGAATGAAAATCCATTTGAGGAGTGATTCCAAAACGAAATAACTTCAATAAGCTAGTGATGATTCAACAGCCCAAACGTAATCGAATGTGTAACTTTTACAATTTTCAAAAATTCATAGATTTCAACATGAGATCTGCACCATTTTAAGTGAATTTTGCTCCACTCAAGAAACCTTTTATTTCAATATGGAGAAAATATCACTTCAAGCAAAAAATTCGCACAAACTTTTCACACTTTCAAAAAAATTGTAGATGACAGGATTGAAATTATTTTTTAAAATTATAAAATTAAAAAAATAAAATGAATTAAAGAAAAATCTTTTGTCATTAATAATGTAATTCTGCAAGGTTAATTTGCTTTTCTTAATTTCGTAAATATAGAGATTTCACAGAAAAGGAGACCTGTGCTATTTTTATATGCGCACTTCGATATAATTGAGAAAACCATTGAAAGAGAAACTTAGAGATATTTTTTAAAAAATCTAATTTTGGCAAATGCCTGTATTTCAAGCTAAATTTTCGTTAACTGCTCATACGTTCGAAAACTTGTACGTGAACTTATTTAAAGGTCTGTCTTTGAAGAAATGGATTCGTGTCAAATTTGAAAATTATATTTATTATTGTCATCTTCCTTTCGCTAGCAATTTTTATATCGTTCTTTGGAATGATCGATTTTTGGAATTTCAGTAGAAGACCAGTTAAATCCAGATGAATCAATGGAAAATAATCTCTCCTTCTGATCGTTAAAATTGGTGTCTCTTAGTGCGACCTCAGTTGCTGTCGTTATGCCTCTTATCTCTCACTGCCACCCCTCTCAGACTTCCCTCTCCTCGCAACAGTCTTGACGCCGCAAAGGCCACGTTCCCCGAAGGCGACAGGTGCGAGGGCTGCTACACGAAATATTGTCAGTCTAATTCAAAATCACAAGTCAGAAAGTATAATTTTATACTCAAATTACTACCAAAATACAAACATATGAAACATTATGTTATTTCTCTTTTCATGATCTATGCATTGCCGGTAAGAAAAATATACATTTCCATTAAAAAAATTAAAGATGATTAAATTTCTCGAAAACTAAAAAAAAATATTATAGACCATTTCTCTAAAGTATGTTACTTGCCCCATGCTTCCGCATTGTTCAGCGAAAACTGCATTTCAATATCACGAACCGTTTAGAAGTTACGGAGGCGGTCCATAGTTAGTGGGACACCTGTGTGTGTGTGTGTGTGTATGTGTGTGTGTGTATACACACATATATATTATTTCCAGGGATTTTAAATTGGTCTAGACTCACACTAACGAATAACACTAAGGGTCTAGATACAATAACGAATACAAGATATGTTATTCGTTATGATTATACATTCATTTTTTCCCTTCCTGTTAACGTAGATTATCTAATAAAAATACTAATTTTAAAAGTAAGTATATTTTTTAGCCAGACTCTTATATCTGAATTAATCACTAGAGTGCAGATTCGGAGTCGTACATGCTGATTCTGCTGCCAAATTCCGTGGACGGATTGGAATCCTTGGAAAGAAATCTGGGGCAATTGTACATGCCTAGTGTGCAGTTTGCACAGAGGCAAGTGAACGTGCACCTTCCCTGTTTCTCTATAGAGAAGAGGATACCTATCGACAAGTTAGTGCAGCAGGTGAGACCAAGTGTAAAGATTGAATTTCAATATGTAATAAACATATGAGGAAGTGCCTGTTTTCGACATTTATGAGCACTGGCGTAGCTTAAGTCACACAACACACCCTCTACCTAATGAAAAAAAAATACTAGGAAAATGTAACGTATATGTATTTGTTCGTTTCTGTATGATTTGGTCCTCGATCATTGCCATATCATCGGCAAACTATAAGAGTTTCGTGGGTAAAAGAAAAAGAAGGAAAAGAAATGAAATCTAACGGTGTATATATAGAAATCACTTACATTATACTGTCACTGTATTGTAACACAATAAAACAATATTTATGAGTAAGAATTTTTCTGTCCTGATACCATTCTTGATTCGAAGACGTTGAAAACTTCATAATGAATTTTCACCAAAAGCATTACATAATTTTCGTTATTGTGCGGTAAAATTCGTAATCTAGCCTAAGGCACAGGGTTCTACAGAAGGCTCTCAAACTGCGATGAACGAAACATTCAAGAAACACAAATAAAATGATTTGAGGATTATTATTGCTGAATATATTGCATTACAAAATCTCTACTTTCAATAATGAAAGTGTAGAACAGATTCGAAAAAAAGTTGACGTTCAGATATTTTGAAGAATATTAAATCAATTGTACACTTGAAAAACTCTTTTTCTCCGTGAAAAATTATGATAAGTTTTGACAATTTTGAAAATATCCCAAGTATTTAATGGAGAGTAACTTCAAAACTTAAGGAGAAAAGTCCTTTATTCGATTTAGGCGCTAACAAAGCGTGAAAGGTAAAGATAGAAAGGAAGAGAGAGAGGGGGGAAGGAGAAGGGTAGAATATATGTAGTTAACGATAAAGTAATAAACCAGTACCCTCCAAAAGAGTAAAAAAGTGACAAACGTTTTAGAAATGAAACTTATTCTTTAAAATAGTTTTTAAGTCGCTCTAATAACTTACGGTATTTGTAAGGTTGTAGTAAACGACAGGAATATTTTAAAATTGTACTTTCATTCCAAAATAATTTTACATTACATTAATAGATTATATAAAATTAGTTAATTTCTACCTACAAAATGTGTAATACTGATATTATTGGAACATGTCGGCGAAAGGCGAGAAAGAAGGGGCTTAATCTATTTTAGAAGAAAATGTTTACAATGGTACAGATCATAAAAAGAAATCCACTGAAGTGACTGCGCCCAAATTTGACACGGATACTTTTGAACGACCAAGAATCAACCAGATTAGTTGCGATTCAAAAGATTACCCCAAAATGTGCCTAATAATACAAGATTGCCCTGGAGTGTACACGGCCGAACTATGGTAGCTTTCCCGTAGTTGAAATTAAAATATCAAACCAGTGAACCAAGGGCAGATATCTTTCAACGTGTTGTCCTGAGGCATTCAGTAGAAATAAAATGCGTAAGAGAAGAATTAATTAATTAACAATATTGCTGATGATATTGAAACTTCTATTGAACATGCATCAACTGCGTGATATGAACTATTTCTATTTGAAAATTATAACCTTTGCCAGATCTCCACATGTGTGCTATTAAGGCAAGTTGAAAATTGATCTTAATTGCATCTAGACGAAACTGTATTAAATTTACAAGAGACAAGAAATATGAGTCAAAATCATGTAAATACGAAATTACGTTTATATTAAAACTGATACAGATTGTTTGATTTTTGAAGGAACGTGTGTTTATTATATTGAAATGATGCATAAACTAAAACTACAACAAAAACATTTAAATTTTCTTTAGTATATATTTCTTAATTATTTTAGTTAGAATGCGAGTAAAATAGATCGTGGGTTTGGTCTGGGGTCAGGGAAAAGTGAGGAAAGGTGAGACAAGGCCGAGTGGGGCGGGGATGGATTCGGGGTTACAAGTGGGCGAACACGGCGGGAGTAGATCGAACTACTAAGAGTGGAAAATGAAAATAGAATAAATACGGGAACTTTAATATGATATAGACAGAATAAATTAAATCTTCAATAAAATTGCATATTTGATTATACTTCATATTTTATACGCCCTTAACACACAAAGAAAATGCATTTATTAGTGTTAATATGAACCATCTTTACGCAACATACAAAGCCATGTAGGCCAGCTATCAAATAGATACGTGTGATAAATAAATTACGGATTTATTAACCTAATATGTAATATTTAAGGACATTTCTCAATTCATTAATTCATATGGCTTGATACGTTGCAGCTAGGAATCACAACATTATTCGGTGCTCAAGCTGATCTCAGTGGAATATCGCATGCATCTTTATCTGTGAGCAATGTTATGCAGAAAGCTTACATCAGAGTTGATGAAAATGGAACTGAAGCTGCTGCGGCTACAGGTATGGTACAAAATCATTAAAAGAGGAACACAATATCTTCTGAGCTTTTCAAATAGCAAGCAACTAAGAAATTTACCATTATAAAAAAGCACTATCTATGGCGAAGGATTTCTTTGACTCAACGTGAACAAACGAGTATTGAAACGTTGGGCAAAATTGGTTTCAATCCACGGAAATAAACGCACGTTCCTTGAAAGCTATTTGATTAGCCGAATTATCTGGATTTAAAAAAGTGATTTTTTCTGTTGAAATTATCGAGTGAATTACTCTACATTACGAAACGTTTACATACAGATTTTAAATATCCATGTACTTTATAAAAATGTGTTACTAGTAGTAAAACTATTTATCTTATCCGATCGCCTTTATACGCTGGTTACTTGCGCGTTCGGAGTAGATAAATGGCTTAGTAATATATCCGACGCTGTAAAGGTTACCTAGCAACAGCTTGGTAAACAATATAGAAGATACAAGTATTCATAAACAAAGAAACATGAATACTAGTATCCAATTACTTCTTCTTCACCTCCTCTTTCTTATTCTTTTAGTCTTCTCCCTTAACCTCTTCATTTTCTCTTTTGCTTTCCATCTTCCCTTTTTTCCCCTCTTCTTCTTCTCTTCTTTTTCTCTTTCTTCTTCTCTCCTCCTCTTTCTTCTCCATGACCTTAGCATTTTGATTTTAATACTTTCGAGAAATTCTTCTATCGTCTCCATTGCGGCTACTACTTTGAATAACAGCTCAGTGCAAAGGTAGCATACCATGCTATCACCGAAGTCAATGTTCATAGAAAGGTGTGTGAAGGCAATATGGTCCAGTTAAGAGCATCAAATTTTGATGTTTATATTTCAACATTTGGCCAAATTAACAGCATCATGATGATTTATAACACTTTTGATTGAAGTTGAAATAGCTATATCAGAAAAAAGTGATTCAGGAATATTTGGTTATAGTTTTATAAAAACGTAATTTGAAGGCAATATGTCCTCATGCAGGTTTTATGGCCTTTGCCAGATTAACTGGTTTCTTGTAGCATGGCCATAGAACTAAGGCTAGTTTTACTAATTTATATTATGAATTACCCTCTTACAGTCTAATGTTCCAAAAATACGGACTGACATGTAATATAAGGATTGCTGGGTTAATCATAACAAATTTAGTATTTTCTACAATGAGAGTTTATTATACAAAATTGAAAACATTAGTAAATGCACGGAAACGAACAAAAATAAAAGTGGTGCTACAGAATGGCACAAACTTTCCCGTAGTAGACTTTTCTAATTTTTTTCGTGTGGGCTAGCTTTACTGTGTACCCCTATCCTCTAGCTATCTGACATCTATGGCCGCCCAAAATACATTGTATACAAATTTTCTCAATTTTTAGATTTCCTAATGATACATTGAAAATATTACTTTCAAAATTCCCTGTCAGACAAAAAACTAATGCACCCAGAAAGACTGTTGGGAAGTGAATGAAATGCACATGCTGGAAGACCATGTGATTTTATTGAATTGATTACAATGTGAGGTGGAAGAGACAAGACCGTTGGCAGTTGAAGGTGGAAGGTTGGCGCTTCTTCCTGTAGGTAAACGTCGTTATTCACTGTCTCACTCAAAGCAATAGACTGATAACAACTGCGAAACAACAGGGCCGTGACATCACGAATTACGTGTGAATCTTATCATTTCCTCACACACCAATGGTATGCATGTATACCAAAATGGGATAATATTGGACCACTTCTTCTGGGTGCATTACCTTTTTTGTCAGACAGTGTATAAAAGAAGAGTAAAACCGAATCCTACATGGAAATTTTCGTTGAAAAATTTGGAGCCATTTTTAATACATTACCTTTTAAACTCAAATGTTAGTGAAAAATTTGATGCTCATTTTCACTGGAATCTTTTGTTTTCGAAAAACTTCATTTGAAGCACTTTCGCAATGCGCAAGCACTGGACGCAATATTGCGCAAAAAATACTCACATTTTCAAAACATTTTCTGGATATTAATGAAAGAACTATGGAGAAAAACATTTACTTGAAGGTAAAACCTTTATCTTCAATTTTGTAGTTGTCAATCTTATTTTGTAGTAAATGCCAAAAAAATTCATTTTTTTGACATTTTCGACAATTCAGAATTAACAGGAAAAAATATACCTATGCCTTCTTTATAAGTGTATTTTAATATATTCTCTCAAACTATTCTCAATCTATTTTTTCAAAAAGTTAAAAGAAAAACTTAGGAGCTACTATTTTTTTTAAGAAAATGTCACAGGGGCTTCACGTAAAGTACCTCCAAAATTCAAAGAATACTTTTCAAAATCGCAAAGCTTTGAACCAAGCCAAATCGACACGGAGATATCAATTTTCAAAAAAATCTACGAATGGTTTAGACACTAGTGACGTTTACAGACAGACGAACAGATGGAAAGAGTTTGAGGGGGTATCAGGGGATCGCAAAATGTGCATTTGCATTGAAATCTCGAAATACATTTTTCCCAGCATTAGAAAACTTTCTCTATACTACGTATATTACTACGTGTATACGTACGTACACGAGAAAGTAACTAGTGGGGATACAGAATGGCACAGATTTTCTCTTTATAATTTTTAGAATTTTCCTCAATTTTTCAGTTTCCTAGTAGAACCGCAGTTTTACTTTCGAAATATTATTGAAGAGTAAGTCCTCGTCCAATATAAACATTTTCGTTGAAAAATGTGGAGCCGTTTAAAAGAAAATGTCGTTTTAGTGGCACTGTAAATGCGAAATATGAAGCTCTTTTTCACAGAAAACTCGTGAGTTTTCTAAAAACCTCATTGAAAGTCATTTGAAGCACTTTCACTCACAAATGTATTACTGTTTACAAATAGTAGGAAACATGTTTATTAACATCATGAAAGATATTTAAAAAAATACATTCGTCTATTTTTTTAAAAAAAGCAAAGAAATACACCAAAATGAATTTTGTGTTGTTTAAAAGAGTACGAAAAGTTTGAAGAAAATATTTAGAGCCGTTTTTGAGAAAATGACGTTTGAGAGTTTCTGGAATGCTGAATTTTTAAATTTGCACAAAAAATTTTTGAGTTACCAATTTTTTAATGACATTAGTTAAAGAACATGTGCTCATAATTGCAATACAATTTTTCAAATTTGAACAATTCGAAGTTAATTAAATATTAACGACTCGAGAGTGGAATAAAAAAATTAGGAGGCGTTTTTGAAAAAAATGTGTTTTTACTTTCCCGTATACATACGTATTTACAGATTAATATAAGTAATATTGGGAAAGTCATGTAATACTGCGCAAAATAACGGCGGATTTTTGGCAGTAAAAAATTCATTGCCGGGCCCTGACAGCTAAGAAGTGGATAAATCGAGTTGCTAAATTAAGATCCTCTAATCCGTGGCGTATCCAGAATCCCTGTTTTGTGGGTCCTTGGTACCGTAAAACCAATTGACGGCAAAACGCCTGTTCGTCTGTGAACACCACTGGCGTCTAAACCATACGTGCGATATTTTCCAAAATTGATATTCTCCAGTCGATCTGGCTCCACTTGAGGTGTCGCGTTTTTAAAAAATAATTCTTCAAAATTTGGGATTCTTTACATGAAGTTCCCGTACATTTTCAAAATTTTCTTAAAAGCACCTTCATTTTTTTCTTTAAATTTCTTATGAGAATAGATTAAAATACGCTTATTAAGTTGGAATAAGAAAGACTGTTAACTGAATTTTCGAAAGTTGCAAAGTTTTGAATTTTTTGCGCCGTCTTCCTAGAACTACAAAATTGATGATAGAGATTTTTCCATCAAATATAATTTGTTCTCCATAGTTCATTAATTAAGATCATGAACATTTTTTTTTTGGAAAATTGTAATAGTTTTCACTCAATATTGAGTGATATTACGTGAGAGACAAGTAAAAAATACATTTTGTAATTTTTGAAAAAACAAAAAAATGACCAATATGGAGTTTGTCATCTCATAGAGTACATTTTGCAGTATCCCTACAAGAATTGAAAGAAAAAATTTGGCGCCTTTTTTGAGAATATCTTGTTGATCTTGGGAGGACGGTGCACCAAATATATAATTACTTAATCTAGAAAATTGAACAAAGAAAAATGGCTGTGGAAGAGAAAGCCAGGATTGCCTTTATATGTGTTAACATCTTTCACATGAGAAAACTTGAAAATTTCGTCTTAGAATTTCAAGAATAATTAATCACCATGAATAGTATTACAAACAGAATAATTACGTCTTGTTGAGAGCCTTTTTCAAATGATTTACAGACACATTGTAACAATCTATCTTGGGGTGAAGGGCGAAATATTTCTCGTATGAGAATACGTGATTGATCACCATTCTAATATATGTTTCATATTCTTTGCAGTTCTCACCGTTGGAGTAACCAGTGTAGTAATAAATGATCCACCAATTGAATTCAAAGCAGATCACCCATTCTTGTATCTCCTGATGGTTGATAATAACATTATATTTATGGGTCGAGTGGTAAATCCAAATGAATGAGAAGAGTTCGAGAGATTCTGTAGATGGAAAATAAAAACGCGTGCATTTTCTATACCTTCCATTGTTCTGTATTCTTTTTTTGTGGATGTTATGCAACTGAATAGCTTAACCTATGATAACTAAATTTGACAATCAAGATAGATTTCATTTATATCTTGCCTCAGCAGCTCTGCTCATCCAGTTTGTTTCTCCTGTTTCGCCCCGCCTACTTTGGCTGCCCTCCCCCCACCACTTCACCAATTCCACTCTGAGTCGGGGAGGGGGGCGGGAATGATTTAAATGCGGTTCATTCTAAAACACGATAAGGATATTCGAAAAGAAGTGTTTAGGGGAACTTTAAATAACTAAAATGTGTTTTGAGAAGTTCCATAGCGCTTATAGAGGTGATCAATAAGCTCATTAGTCATTAATTCCTCTCAATAAGGTTAATCGATTGGCAGTATGTCGCTACTATGGTTTGTACGATACTATGTTAGGACGCGTTCTTCAAAAATCATCTGAAAGAATGATAGAAAACCCGTATTTTTGAGGGTGTTCAACTCACATACCCTGGCAAAACGCAATGAATTACTTGAAAGTTTGCTACTGACCGTTTGCATAAATTTATTAGAGTTATGCATTTCCATTATAGACAGTCAACATATTCAACACATTTTCAAAAAGATGCAGACGTATTCGTCCAGGAAACGTACTTGCAAATGTTTTTTTTCTGTAAAGATAAGTTCTAAAATTAAATATAGTTATTTAAGTACCAAGAACCTTATAAGGGTTCTAATGAATAATGATCAAGCGGCGACAAAAAGCCTGAGGACCAAAGTGCTCATGAGGGTTTTAGACGCTTCTTGATCATTATAATCAATTAACGCCTGTGGTATATACATGATTTTATTTTTTACCTAATTTGAGTTATTCATATTTACTTATTTACTAATTAACTAGTTCTTAATTTGACTCGGTTTGTCATTTCATATTTCCCTCTGATAATTCTCTTTCGTAATTCCCGCTCTTAATTCCCTCAAATACTTCCCTCTGTAAGAGCATATGTAGCAACATTGAACTGTTTTCATATTTCCCTCGTCACCAGGGTCCTCTCAATCCAGGTAAGTTATACACTGAATATGGAGCTCCGAATCGAAGGCAATATCAAACAATAACGTATCAGTAAAAAAATAAAAACGTATTGCCTTTCGGCATAACATGAATAATTTCGACTCGATTCAGCAGACTGATTATAATTAACACATGTATTAGAATGAAACAAATATTTTTTTTAAAAAAGTATACTTATTGATATTTTTTCTTTTGATTACGTGTCAGACATGATTTTTTTATTATTACGGACACGCAACTACAAATAAAACGAATTAACATGAAAATTCCTGTTGGAGTGCCCACGGTAGGCTAGTGTGGATTAACATGGCATTAAGGACTGACAAAGGTAGCAGACTACCATACAGAAAATATATTTTTTTTAATTCCAATATTTGATGAATCAAAATAAATTTATAGCATCGAAAGAATTCTCATGTTTTAGCTCTGCATTAGTTAGGTAATCGTTTAAAAATAAAATGAATAATAAAAACCTAAGCTCCTTATAGATATTAATGAGTTTAGACTGTGAGTATACGAGAAATACTTACATCCACGTTGATAGTAAATTTTATGCCTCAGTCATTGCAGCTCAGTGGATAGCAATTGCTAATTCATTAAAAGGTTAATAAGGAAGTGTAGCTGAACCTTGAAGAAGCGAAAGCTTGAACTGATGTCACATTTAGAGGAGCTATATTGTTATTTGCAGCAACTTCCTCTTCGCAGAAACGGTTGCAAGAATGAACTTTGATCTTAGTTCCAGCCAAGAATGCTTCCTCTTAAAAGCGAGAACAAGATATAACATTACTTAAGAACGTTTCAAATGAGTCACCGTAAAGTATAAGAGTATAAGAGGCATCGTACACACTAATCTTGTATCTCTAATGTTACGATGTAAAGCTAAGTTTCAGTACATGCAGACATCCGTTCAACATGTGAAATCTATGCCTGTGTACGTGATTTACGGGCAGTTACTGGAAAGATAGGAGAAGCTGTGGTCTGAAAATGTTCAAATAACCTTTCCTCCGTAATATACATGCGGCGGTTATCTTCCTCCTCTGATTGGCGTGATCCGGACACGGGGACTTGCGGTGTTTTCGCAGCAAGGTATTTGCCAATAGCGGTGCATTGGCACAAGCGGGGGAAGCTCTACGCTCTCGACTCGTTTTCAGATGTGTGGTAGTGTGGTGAACGTAAGTGTATGTGTGTGTAAGAAAGGAGTTAGAATTGGACAAGAAAGAGGAAGGATAGATCGCACACAATCAGTGGTCCTTTAAGTAATTGCTCCTCAATTCGCAGAGTGTTAATAGGAGACACCACGGAAAACTACCGATCAAAGCATCCGGTAATTCTCCTCCAGCCAGCGGCTGATTTCCACCCAGCTACCTAGTGTCCAGTGATCGTCGAGACTCTAACCCTTCGACCTTCCAGTCAGAGACATTGCAATGCCATCAATTGATGCCCAGAGCCACATAATCTGGTCACGCGTATTCGACATGAGGATTATCTACGGGTAATTATATGTCTTCACTTTGTGATCCTTAAACAAATTGCTGAATTTGGGAGTAATATATTTTTTTGTCTGTAATATGAACCAAACAAGAAAATTCTTGAAATAAACATGTTTTTTCAACATACTCTGCTTTTTATTTTTTTGTGGATGGTAGTGGTTAAACAAGCATCTTTTCATTAGGAGACAAAAACTTAACTTCTCTACTAAAGCCACAACATCTTATCGTGTACACCAGGGCTCTACAAAAGCAAGAATTGGGGCCAAACTGCCTGAAAAAAAAACTTCTCTACCAAACATACAGCAGCGTATCGTCTTCAGAGGGGTTGCTCAGACGGAAGAACTGGACCCAGCCAGCCAACCCTACAGACTTTGCAATAGCCCGCGGGCCACTCGCCTTGCAGAAGACAGAAGCTAATCGAACATGAAAACTGGGCATCTCAGTTCCCTGCAGGGAGACACTGGGCCACAGCACGCACCTGGGCCAGTGGACAACCCACTTTTACATACAGATCGTATAAAACTGAAAGCAGACAAACAATTCAAGAGTTGCGTCATACCTGACTATCCCGAGTCATAAGCCACAACATCAATTTTTTACATTAGAGCATTTTCAAAGTTTAAGTGAGTGAGACAGTGCACTGTCTCCCGACTTTCGCAACATATAGCGGGACTGATAATGACGGAAAAGCTGGCTATCTGAATAAGTCTTGTAAGTTGATGAATATTATTTCAGTTATTCCACCATAACATCAAAACATCAGAGACATCTACTGGAAAGCTACTCTAAGAATAAGAAAAGTGAAATCCGGCCAAGTGTAGCTTAGAAATATCTCCGATGCAAAATCCTTCAATTGTTCACGCGTTCAGCAACCAGAAGTTCGTCATTGTTGAGATTCGACGACTGACTTGAAATATTTTTTCCAGAAGTTTCAGAAAACCCGGTTTGTCGCATTTCCACTGTAGAAAAGTCGAAAAACTTCGTCAATAGTTTAACCTAATACACAAGTCGCTATAAGCACTACAAATTCACACTCTACTCTAAAAAAATAGAAAGGTTGTGACTGTCCAATCACCCCAAAGAGCTGGCGAGACAAATGCAAGTTAAAACACTATTACTGCAGTATGTAATTGAAAATAGTTTTAAAAAACTTGAGATTATCAAATAACTTGTGTAAGGTTATTGTTGATTAACCGTTTAAATACGAATAGGAAAGAGGTTTCCCAGAGCATTTCAACCCAGCCGTATAAACGGGATACTTTTGGCTTGACCTCCAGAGGCGCGCGTCGGCTCTCTTATCGCTTGCTGACGGATGGCAAGTCGCGGTGCTCCGATTCTCAGGCATCGGAGCTCCGGCCAACGCAATCAGGCAGGAATGTGTAGATGCAGTACGGTCTTGCGGCAGAAAGAACGAGCGTGGGCTCCTCTGATATTTCTTGATTTTACAGTGCGCCGCAACTCGTGAGACATACGGGAATATTGATCGCCACTCAACCTTCGCTTGGAGACGTCATACGAATATCATAATAATAATATTAATAATATAATAATATTATAATAATAATAATTATTATTATATGACATACCACACTAAAAACAGAATAAATGATTTATGTTATCAGTTTATTAAGGAATTAGAGTGTCGCATGGCATTACATATACCATCCACTAATTAGTTCCATAATATATTACATTAATTTCATAGGTAATAATTCAATTCTGCCAGAAATAAATTTTCCTACAGTAGGAGATAACCATGGTGTAAACTCATGTTTACAACAATGCAGGAAAATTTATTGATTTTATATTTTGTTATGTATTGTTTTGTATTATTTGCAATGTTTTAATACTTTGTTGTTTTGATATAAACCATCGTCCTGGTGCTATACAAATATCTCTTCAGCCTAACAAAGCTTCATTTTAGTTATTGCGCATTTTTTTAGTCCCTTGTACTTATATGTAACGCTTCACTGTGTACCACCTCACGTCAGATCCCATAGTCCCAACAAACCCACCTCGGCCCACGTTTCTCATTGGCGAACGCAGTCGCGTTTTGCTTTTGCTACATATTCTAATGATACAGGCAATGTTAACATAAAATGCAATGTTGTGCGAAAGGGACAGTAAAGAATGAAAAGAAGATAAAATAAAGAGGGTCATTGCCCAAAATAATATTACTTCATTTTGCAAAGGAAGTAGAGAAGAAAGTTTATACTGTCTTACTCAGTTAATCCCTTTAAATTTCTATCAAGTCTTTCAGCACTGGGAAGGTACCTGTCATCACGCTCTGAAGTTAAACCTAATAAAAGGTCAAGAAAATTGGTTTATAAAAATAAGACCGGATCGCACGGAGTGCAGAAGGAAAAATTCTCCGTAGCTAAAAGGTTAAATGCTTGAAATCACATGAGGCCAATATCCCGAAATTAAGGGAAAATTTGGAAAAAATTTAACTTCGTATAT